ATGAGATTCAGCTTTTGTGGAGTCAATTACACCTGCAGAGTGGCGGCATGAAGCCAGAGGGTGGAAAAAATATCAAAATTTGAGGTCTTCTCTCTGTCAAGTAACTGAGGAAATGGTGGGTATTACAATCGGCTTAGGGGTCCTTGAGCGTGATCTCTGTTTCATTTCTTTTGAAAAGTCCAGAATCCTCTCTCAGCATCTCCTCTCAGTCAAACTAATTTCTCTTTCAGTCCATTTATTTGTCAGAAAAACTGATTTATTGCCTTAATCCGACCGACACTGGACTTTTAAAGACATGAAAACTCATAGAGACTAAAGGTGACATAGAAAAAACATCTGTGTCACTTAGAAATTGAGCTGGACTTTTGAAGGTGTGAGAAAACTCTGCACACAGACTTCACAGCTGCTGAGGAGACTCTCGCTCAGTGAATGTCACTCATGCCATTTCTACCTGCTGAATGTCACACACACTGTTAAGATGACTGCTAACACCTCAGAGCTACATGACGTCTGTATTCCTGCTGTTAACATCCTGTACCCCTGCTCTTTAAATATCACACTGGATCTCTCTCACCGTGAGCTAAATAAATATCAATAAGTCAGACAGACTGAAGGTTATTAGCTGATGCAATCTTGATGTTTGCTGCTGGAACTTTTGGGCATTAATGCTCCATTACATCAGGTGCTTTCCTGCTCAAAGAGAAGAGTAAGGTAGGTTTGTAGGGTTGTGTATGCTACACATTCAGTCATTAAAGACACGAACTATATACCTCAATGCAATCTGATTTCTTCATTGTGATCCATGTGAAGCACATTCCCAATCAATACCAAAGTGAGGCATCTTACATTGATTAGATTGTGTGCAGTGCATGATAAATATGTGGTTGCATTTGTGTGTACAGGTGTTTGTGTGTGTCAGTGCTGGAAGGATAAACAATCAGTCAAAGTCAAGACCTCACTTTTAATGATTACCACAAATGTTTTGATGAAACAAGAGTCAGTGATCACAGCTCTCTAATCTCCTCATGCTCTTCCCCAAAGGTTAGACAAGGCCTGAGACTGAGTGCATGAAATACTTCAGTCCAGTTTAGACAAGACAAGAAAAGAACAAGAGTTCAGACCTCTTGTCCTGGCTTCCTCAATCTTTCAGAGAGAATTGGGTTTTAGGTTGGAGAGTGTTTTCCCCACGGACCCATCACAGACTTCTCCACAGATCAGGGATCATCACACCACCTCAGCAGATACTAGGGGGGAATATCATTGCAGCAGTTCTGGATGGGGTCAGGGACAGTTTTAGTGAAGTGTTGCTCAAAGGAGCTTAAAGACTCTTCAACAACCTGTCTACTGTGCCAAAACATGACTCTAAATAGAACCCATACTGTGTCGCTTAAGCTAGCCATGCAGCTAGTTATGCTAGGGTGACCATACGTCCTCTTTTACCCAGACATGTCCTCTTTTTTGGGGGCCCGTCCGGCCTTGTACGGGGGAGTTTATACAATTCCTCAAATGTCTGGGGTTTTGTATGGAAGTTTTGAGCTTCCCGAAAAAAACCCGAAAAACTCTCATAATTTACTTTGTGCAACTTTGTGCAACTCTGTGACTCCGCCCCCGCATAGTTGTGTCCTCTTTTTGGGGATTCAGAATATGGTTACCCTAGTTCTGCGAGTTACCCAGTGTTGATGCTCTGGGTACGGGGTTCACTTACTTATATGCCAAAGATCCAATGATAACCCCTGTATCATCTGAAACTGATATGCTGCTCTGTTTTTGCTCATAGTTGCCTTTGTAGCCTGTTACTAAAGCTGCAGCATTCCTGTCCTCGCTATATGTTTCTCCTAATGTAGAAGGTTTCTGATCTTCTGCCCTCATCAACCGCTGTAAATCAGAAACCACCTGGACTAAGTAGTAAGAAACCAGAAGCAGTCAATCAAGGGTTAAAATGATGCATCAAAGCTGCAGGAAGCAAGAAAAGACAAGTCTATGGACTTTGTAAGAAAGGAAATCATGTAATAGTTCAAGTTATTGGTGTGATAAAGAGAGTTTAGTTGAAACGCGGATGTCTTTGGTGTCCCTTATCTTGACTTTATTTCATACTCTATTTAGAATAAAATCCCTTGAAGGGCTATAAATGCCACTGCTTCTGAGTCAACCTTCAGGTTAATCAGACACCAAAGTAATGACTTCTTTTTCCAGCCCGTACTTATTGAAAACTGTGAGACCTGAAACTGAGCAGAATTTAAAATACTGTCTGGGTGGCTGCAGGTGAAAAAAAAGGAAAGATGATGAATGTGAGGACTTTAGTAATGAGAGAAACTATGTGTCCTTCCACATCGTGACTCCCTCATTTGTCTTCAAAGGACGTAGAAGTAAAGCCGTCTGACACAAAAATTAAGTGTCTGGCTGCTTCAATTAACTCAGTAATAAAATATAATGTGAGATGCATCTATAAAACACTACCTGAAGACTTGAAAAAAGGACTATTCCACTTTTTTAAATCAGTTTTACTCAAGTTCTCTGACATGGGAAAATTAGGGTCAATGAATGGATGTCCTTCTGTTAAAATATCTAATGGGTATATTATTCAAGACTAGAAAGACAAAACCTTTTCCATAAACTTCCTGGATCAGTCATACTCAGGGCTGGGGGATATGGCCTTAAATCAATATCACGATATATTGAGCAGTTCACCTTGATAACGATAAATGGACGATAACTACTCCACAAGCTGCTCACCCTCTCCCACATTAACTTTGTTTACTTCAGCCGCTGCTCCAGCCGCTACAACTTTTGAACCGTCCTCCATCTCCTCACCTGTCTTTCCCTCTTTGTTACTGACTAGATGGGCTGAAGTCACGTCTCCAACATAGGACAGCCTCCTAAAGGGACTTGAGACCATAGCCTACCTACACACATCCAAAACCAACCTTTAGTTAGTTATTTTTTAGACACCTGATATACTGATATGATGTTGGTTATTGTCGGTAAATTTTCGGTTTATTGCCCTGCCCTAGTAATACTATATTTAGCCTCAATACAATAAATGATGTACAAGATAGGGATCAACATTTATGACAAGCTGATTTACTGATCTCTTTCTGCGTAATACAACATAAACCTGATCTGATCTAGGTAACATAGAGCTGCTCCTACTTTGAAAGAATACCATAGTAATAATGAAAAATCTTTAAAAGGGTGTTGCTGAGCTGGAGGTTTCTGAAAAAATAGGCCTCTTTCATTCCCACACTTTAGAAAAGAAGCGGCTCCTATCTTCAGACTGATGGGAGTCAATTGTCGGTGTCAAATGTGATAACTGCCAGAAGGGCTCCAGGTAAATATGCAGTTTATACACACTCACACATGAATCCAAGCTGAAAGAATATGAAGCCATTTGAAAAAGCAATAGAAAGATCATTCTGAGACAGCCCTGTCATCATTTTCACTCCAAGATGCTTCTGCTTATTTTCCCCCAGTGAGACTGTGGCCTTGCAAAGTGAAGAAGAGGCCTCTTTAATATGAGTCTACCAAGATGCAGTGAGCAGAAGGAAAAAATCTGACACACAAGGTCAGCCTTAGAGTGTTTATGTCACTGTCTTCTTCACACACCTGATCACATCTAAAGGGAGTTTGAGCGTGAAGCTGCAGCTGATGCTCCAGTGAGAAAGTCAGTGATCATTTTTGGCAGATTAAAGGGATATTCTGATGTAAAATTAAGTTAGGGTCTAACACACCATAACACCGAGTTAGGGGTCGAGAGATGAATGTTGCCGACCTCTTGCCGTCCATCCATTTTCTACCACTCATTCCCGTTCCCAGGGTCGTGAGGGGCTGGAGCCTATCCAAGCATCTTTGGGCGAAGGCAGGGGACACCCTGGACAAGTTGCCAGTTCATTGCAGGGCTGACATATAGAGATGAAAAACCATCCACGCTCACATTCACACCTACGGGCAATTTGAAAGTGACCAATTAACCTAACCCTACTTCTGAATGTTTTGGGGATGTGGGAGGAAACCGGAGTACCCAGAGTAAACCCACACAGACACAGGGAGTACAAATTCCACACAGATATGGCCTGACCCGGATTCAAACCCAGGACCTTCTTGCTGTGAGGCGACAGTGCTAACCACTCCACCACTGTGCCAACTGCTGACTGCTTGCTTCTCTAGTTACACCAACTTGAGTAATGGCAACAGATAGCAATGCAGAGAGCCATGCGCTCAACCAAAAAGCCACTCTACAGTCACAAATAATGCTCAGAACAGCACCTAACTTCATCAACAGTACATATAGGGTCCCAGCCATAGTACTAGCCACCAAATATTTTTTTTAGCTTTGCCTTATTTCTTTAGCAAAGAGACTAAACACAACTCACCTACTCTCTTACAGCAGCTGCTTGTTTGTACGGAGACCTCCGGGTGAGTCCATCAACTGCAGTGGGGTGACATAGCTCAAGGAAGAACATTATTGATGATTTGTGTTACAGTTTGTTTGACCCTAAATTAGTTTTACGCCGAAATATCCCTTTAAGATGAGAACACCACTGAGCTGAGTCTGTGTTCTGAGAGGGACATGGATGTGTTGTAATCTGAGGATGAATTTAATGTAAACTCATTTGGATATGATTTGTAATCCACTGCTTATGTTTAGAATATATGCAGACTAGATAGGAGGCTAAATTGACTTCATTGATTACAAATCATTAATCTGCATCTCTTCTTAGGAGCCAGCTGCTGTGAAATGAGACTGGTTAACAACCAGGGAGCAAACTGAATATAAGCTGGTATAGGACACAGCTGCATGACCATAACATTATAGGAAAGGAAGTAATAGTTTAAATAACCGTAATGGGAGAGAAGTTCCTATAAAAATTAATGCTGCATTGACAATAAAAAACTTTGCAGGTGCATGCAGTTGCGCGTAGTGACGAGTAGAGGCGCTGAAGAGCTTGTCTGAACCAATCACAACTAAAGGGGAGGTGCAGCGGTGTCCAGACGGTGTGCCAGCCTGTCTGAGTATTCACCTCTTCACAGATACGATGGTGCATCAGTTGCTCAGCAAAACTCGTAGATCTGCCAAATCCTGCCCACTCATTATGAGATTCAGCGTGGTGCACAGGCAGAACACTTACCCACCTGAAGATAGACGGTACCTGCGCACAAATCCGTCTTTTTGCTGCAAAATGCAACTACGGGATAAATCCATCGTTTGTGCACCAGCGGCGTCGGGGCACAACAGGGACAGACACCGGGGGACAGGGGGCGGCGAGCGGACGGGGAGGTAAGCGCTCTGTCGGCGTGGAAGCATCCTCCAGCGTGACTCCAGCTTTAGCTTATTTTGGCTTTATTTAGAGCAGGACGTGTTCTGTTTGAGTTAGTTAGAGACGGATCATCAGTTTCACTACCACGGGCTGTGCACAGACGTGTCTGCAAAGAGGGAGGGAAAACTAACTTGTAAGGAGAATATAAGTAACCTGGTTTTAAAAAAAAAAAAAAAACAGTTAAGTGATTCGTCTGATCCATCCATTTATTATTGTTACTCCTCCATGACTGTCCTTCTCTCTAAATCACTCATCTCCATGTTGCATTTATTTTCTGGCAGGTGAGAATGTGTGAAAAGGACAGAGCTGGGTGTCATGAATCAAGTTGGAGATTAAGGGCTTCAGTTCAGGTCTGTCCTGAGCAGGTAGTCAGCTCAGCTGTGATGATGTAACACATTGTGTTTCCCCTCAGAGCCCAGCTGTTTAGTGAGGGTCTTCTCCACAAATCAGCTGTTTTCTCTGCATATTTATGCTGAACAGTCTCTGTAGATGGATTACTACACAGCAGGGGCATATGGAGCATAACAGTCAAGGATGAATGAAGCTTTATCTTGTATCTTGTGCATTGCATTAACTTATTCTTTCATCCATATGAAAATAGCATGTAATAATAGACCTACTGTATACATATCTAGTGAGCTGTGCATTTGCCCAGGCGCCTGTGTTAAAGGGATATTCTGGCGTAAAATTAGGTTAGGGTCAAACACACCATAACACAGAGTTAGACACCCTGTCGAGGGAAGAATGTTGCTGACTGCTTCCTTCTCTAGTTATACCAACTTTGGTCTAGACCGCACGATAGCAATACAGAGAGCCACGCACTCAACCAAAAAGAAATTAGGCAAAGTTAAAAAGATGTTTGGTGGCTAGTACTATGGCTGGGACCCTATATGTACTGTTGATGAAGTTAGGTGCTGTTCTAAGCATGATTTGTGACTATAGAGTGGCCTTTTGGTTGAGCGCGTGGCTCTCTGTATTGCTATCTGTGGTTGTTGCTTAAGTTGTTATAACTAGAGAAGCAAACGGTCGGCAACATTTATCGTGACGGGGTGTCTAACTCGGTGTTACGGTGTGTTTGACCCTAAATTAATTTTACGTTGGAATATCCCTTTAATATAAGTGAAACAATTTTCAGTATGAACTTTGCTTTTCAGTTATCCTCTCAAAAAAGAAGAATTAAAGCTATTATCATAAGTTAATACCCGCACTAATGGTTTAAATTTCTCTCAAAATGTTAAGGGTCACAGGTTGAGGATTAGGAGGAGGGGCTTTCTCAGTCCGCAAGGTTTCTTAGTGGCTCCATGGGGGGTGGGTTAAGCCTGTTAGGTCCATATGATGCCATAGCGAGTGTATTTCATGGATCAGGGGAGATGGGAGGGAGAGCATTGAAATTCTGTCCTTTAGCCATATCCATAGACTCCGCTTCAGAAATCACAGCTCCCCACTTATAGGTTATGCATGGGTGGGCTGTGCTTGTGTATTTCTTGCCAACCAAGTATACTTCCAGAGCACTTCTGCATCCTTTTGTATATGCAGAATCCCATTTAGCCCCCATTCATCCCCCACTGACGACCACAACTTCCCCAACGTAACCCTAAGGAAAAACTTCATTATTAAAGTTACAGTTTCTTTAAATGATCTCTCTATATGCTGGGATTGGGTTTGATTTATAATCCAGTGAACCAGTCTGTAATGGCCATAAATGCAGTTGAATTAATGCTTATATTTGAATACAGAGTTTGAATTTTTGCTTGAAAGTGAGGCTTTAACCGTGTTCATAAATGAGATACTCTTAATACCAGGTTGTGCTTCTACATATTTGATCTTACTTAAGTGAGAGTCCTGCTGTGAGGAGATGAAGACGAGTAAATGATGTTCACTTTTAGCGCTGGCTTATAACCTGGCATGATTCATCTCCCACTGACTCAGTAAAGCCACGAACAGCAGGACTAGCTTAATATAATGTTACATGATCTTTAAAAATACCCAGATTCCTGCTTGATTCTAGCTCCCTGCTGATCCTTCATAAAGGAGGGACACCTTGATGGACGTTTGTCTTGACACAGCATATATTTGGAGGCAAAACTAGATAGGGGGAGTTCCTAGTAGAGCCGAAAAGCAGAGAAATTATGCAGCAGATGATGTGCCCTTGTGCTGGCCTCCATGAGGTGCACATCTTTGCAGTGGAGAGGGATCAAGGTTTGCTGAGGGGAGGTTAAGGAGCAAGCAGAAGCAAAGTCATGTTTTAACAGGCCTCTCCTGCTGTTTCCTCTTTGACAAAAATTCCTCACTTATTTTGCATGCACACAGGGATTTCATTTATAAGCCCAACCATAACAGAGACAGAACATTAACTCACACACTAAAACACCTGCTGTAACATCCATCTGGCTATATCCTCATCTCCAGCAACAGTGAGGCACTGCCGCCTTTCTGCCCCTGCGGTGATTAAGATTGAAACACAGCAGGGGGGCGACCGTGGCGCAACAGTGGCTCATACACGGGTTTGTGCACGGCGTGTTATCCAGCCCATTGAGGCTAATATCTGTGAATGAAACATGCCGACACTTTCAATGGTGGGTCTTTTTTTTCTTCAAGTATCTTCAGGGATTTAAGCATAAACGCATTACAAGAAAGATAAAAAGTATGAAACCTTCTTATCTTTAGCTCTCACAGAGGAGGAACCAGGACAATACTTTTGGTTTGCTGGGAGTTTGAAAAGCTTAATGAGTAATAATTTTAGTAAAATAAGTTTATCACATCATTAATCAAAACTATTACTTTATGACTGACATGTACGGGCTTGTCTGTTTTCGCTTTGTTCAGCTTTGCGTCTTTATTTTCCTCTTGGTTGTGATTTGTTATGAAATCCACCACACAGTTTCCAGTTTATTACTGCTGGGTCCAGGTGGTCCCTGATCAGATTAACCAGTATCTGTGATTCATTGCTTGAAGAGTGTATTTAGGGCTCCTGTCAGCTGCTGGATGTGTACATTACAAGAGAGGTCCAGTGTTCTTGTAATATGAGCAACACTTTACAGAAACTGCCTCTGACCTCAGATCCAGAGCTGCTGCTGCTGCCGTGATCTTCCTCCCAGGGGTGTGATGATCTGTGGAGAAGTCTGTGATAGGCCTGTAGGGGGAAACGCTCAACAGCCCAAAACCCAATTTCCTCTGAAAGATTGAGGAGGATAACATCCTCCAGGGTGAGGCGCTGAACTCTTGTACTTTTCTTGTCTTCAGATCTCATCAGGCTTTTTAATTATTTCACGAAGTCAGTCTCAGACCCTTTTTTTCCTAACCTTTCAGGAGGAGATTTAGAGGTCACGTCATCTCTGCAGCATGTGATATTTCTGGAGGAGCTAACCCTGAGCTCTCTCTTCAGAAAGGTTTTAGGTTTACAAAGTTAGTTTGTTTCAGGTAATAAAGCAACACAACACCTCAGCTGATACTGTTTGGGAGGAAATCAGTGTCACAGCTTCTCCTTCAGTTAAAAAGCAGTCACCCCGACAGTCTCTGTGACATTAAGCAGTCAGAGTGAGAGTCTTTCTTTCACCTCACTCTTCAGCAGAGCAGACATCTGCTATAAAATCTGTGTGCAGAGTTTTCTCACACTGTCAACAATCCTGCTCGATTATATCAGCTCAGGATGGAGAAAAAAGTAAGAAATATAGATATTTTTCTGCTCTTTGCGTAAGATTACCGAATAAACTTGACTTTTTTCCCTCGGTGAACATTTTATTTCTCTATTTTCATCAAAGTAGCAGCTTCTCTCCCTCTGCCCTGCTCCTTCATTTATTACTTTTCTCAATGACGCCTCCAGGAAGTCTCTCTCTTAAAAAAGACGATTAGGACCTCAAGAAAACAAAAAAAAAATTAAGGAGGGAGATTTTTTAATTTCCATTTAATTTTGAAATTTAGATTTTAATCTCAAATTTTTAATGTGGAAATTTCAGCATTATTCACGACATTTGACAATTTGTGTTCTCGGAATTTCAAATTTTTTATCTCCCAAAATTTCGACTTTGTGGACATAATTTCAATTTTTTAAATCTTGAAATTTCAACGTTATTCACAACATTTTGTAATCTCCAATTTTCGACTTAAATCTAGAAATTTCAATTTTTAATCTCGAAATTTCAACTTTATTGACAAAATTTAATTTTTTTTTTTAATTTTGAAATTTCGACTTTGGTATTGAAATTTCAACTTTAATCTCCTTCCTATAATTATTTTTTATTCTCTTCATGTGGCCCTTATCCGCTTTCGTATCCACTTCGTAGACTGTTTGCTTCCCTCAGTCTAAAATCTGAGATGCTCACTGGCATGAATCCAGAAGACTTTTGGATTCCTGTCCAGCTATCTGAATTTATCAAAAAAGATGATGTAAATATTGGGGGTAAAGTAAAAAAAACCCAAACCAGCAAGAGCCCAACTGCTCAGTGACCATGAAGTGAACTCCCCTCATGCTGAGAGGGTTACAGTGAGGTGAGCGTTCAAGTGTTTGTCTGCCTGTGCGTGAGATTGACACATGGTGTGCACTCAGAGTTGCATGCCATGATGATACATTGGGCGCTGTTACCCAAAAAGGCAACCTTGCACATTCACTGACCTCTGCAGCAATGATTGCATGAGTGGAAAAACCAAAGCAGTCTAGCCTGGCACGCCACAGTTCAGCTCAGGCCGCCCCCCACTGTTCAACGACTATGAGTTATGTGACGGCATGAAAACACACCCTCTTCAAGCTGGTGTGTACAATTCTTTTATCTGTAACCCAGACCCCTGGGTAGGCAGAGTGTTGATGAGTCATTGTCTTTCCCTGAGCTGCAGTAATTCATCAGAACTTGAAGCCGCTTTGGCTGATGGCGTTTTTGACAGAGCAATCTCCCCTGTGTCAGAGAGAATTTGGCTTTAATGGCGGGGCGGACAGTGGAGGAGAACATGGAGAGTTCAGAGCACCGGGTGTGACTGCAAATTGAAAAGTCTGCGTGTATGAGCATCTGTGCCACTTCTTCAACATGTTAAATTATTTATTCTGGTTCATTGGACATTAATTCTCACAGTGAATCAAATCATACCAAGCTGTCCCTTTTTAACAGATGATTTGGTTCTGGTGTGGCGGATGTAATGGACTAAGGAATGACAGTAACAAAAACCCCATTATATTTATCACTTAGAGATTAGGGCTGGGCGATATTTATTACAATAGCCAACGTCATTTTACCCGTATCTGTTTATTTGGTGTCAAGCATTACTGGGTGAAGAGTGACAGAAAAAATAGCTGCAAGTGTCCGACAGTGCTTTCCATGTGTGTGAGATTTCTTTTTAAGAGTGAAGACATTTGATCTAGGGCTGGGGGATAAACCGAAAATTCACTGATACAGAAATTTACGATAATAACCAAAGTCATTTTGCCCGTGTCAATATATTCGGTGTCAAAAAAATAAATAAATAAAATTTGGTTTTGAATGTGTGTAGGTAGGTTATGGTCTCATGTCCCTTTTAAGATGTGACTCCACCCCATCCAGTCTGTAACAAATAGGGAAAGACAGGTGAGGAGATGGAGGACGGTTCAAAAGTCGTAGCAGCTGAGGTAGATGAAGTTAATGTGGGAAGGGGTGAGCAGCTTGTGGAGTAGTTACTGTCCATTTATTGTTATCGAGGTGAACTGCTCAATATATCGTGATATTGATTTGAGGCCATATCACCCAGCCCTAGTTGAGATCCAGGTTCCTGGCAGGTTTTAAGGTTTAGGTTTAGTTAGTGAAGTAACAGCACAGTCTTCTGCTTCAACTACAGTAAGAGAAAAAGGCAGTTTGAGTAGGAAATGCTGTCCCCAGCTGAGCCGGCACACTGAGTTTTGGCTGTGGGTCTAACAGGATTAGATCCTGGTGTGTGAAAATAGTAGACTCTGTGCAGCAGTGTGTATCACTGTTCCTTAGAGCTGGTCTTGGCAAAAAAAATACACAACATGGTGTAATAATTTGTCTTGAGCTGGTGCACTAACACTGCTTGGCGCCTTTTAATGGCTCGCTTAAAAAGAAGAAATTGATTTCCTGGTTTCTGCCTCAGAGATGTTTCTCCGTAGCAGCAAAGACCGCTGTGGCATTACATGTTGTTCTCTTGCACTGTGAGTGTGTGTGTGTTTATGTGGAGAAAGAAAGAGATAGGACTTAAAGGAGAAAAATGAATGAAATGAAATAAAAACTTTGCAGACAGAGGGTTTAGCCTCTCTAAAGAGTGTCCCGATGAGTTGACTGTCAGCCTGTTTTCTGGTGTAGCAGCAGCAGCAGCAGTCAGAGGTAGAGAGATGGCGATAAGACCCTTCAGAGGCAGACGACAGACGCCACGATGATGCTGGAGTTATTGATCAGCATTTCATCGTTTCTCATCTGATTAAGACCCAGAGACAATCTTCTTGTTGTCACCATGAATGACTGATAGACTGTGATATCTCGCCCCTCTCTTTCTCTATCTCCTCATCTCACTCTCGTCACCTCACACTACATCGATTATTGGGAAAAAAGAGCCTCTCAACATGCCCCTCTCTCTCTCTCTTTTTTTCTCTCCTTCCTTTTCATCAGCCTGTCCTCCATTCTCCTTCTCTCTGTTCGCTTTATCTTGTTTATTCATTCGGCTAATTGGATATTTGGACATGATAGAGCTCTGAATGGAGGCCTGTGTGTTTTCATGTACGTTTGCTTCCATAACCAAATCTTTCATTTCTCTTGTCCTTTCCTTGGAAGTGAAAATGAAATCAGACCACAGCCCTTTATCTGTATTACCAGTATTTAAAGGTCTGAGAGAGACTAACAGCCTGCTAATTCTGCTTCTGTTTCATTAAATTGACGGAGATTTGCATTATTTAGCCGCCTGCTTTCTTCTTCTTAAAGGTTGCTGGCAAGTGCTTTTGTCATTATTGTGTTGAAAGCTGCAAACATAATGACGAGTCGAATATTTGCTTAAATATTAGTGCAGTAATTACAGAAAAGTGCCTCTAATCTACATCTTGGTCATGGTTTGAGATTATCCAAGTGATAAAAAGTAATGGAAGTTAGATCATGTGGTAAAATATGTGGTAACTTGCTATTAACTATCAAGATTGTTTGATTTATTGTGACAAAATCGATCATTTGATAGCCCTAATTTGACCCTTTTATGATGTTGTAGCTGTAGCAGTTAGTGCTGGTGCTTAGGTTTATTAGACAGTGACAGAGGATGTTGTGAACTCTCTGCTGCTAATGATTTTGGCCTCCCTAAAATGTCTCACCCAGGCGCTGCTCCAGTTCCAGCCGGCTGACTCAGATTTTGGACGGATGAGAACCGGGGAGCTCTTCCTTTTTGTTCTGCACTCAAGTAAATACGGCCTCATTTCGGCGTCTTAATGACCTCATTTGAAGGAGTCTAATGACTCTCAGTACTGCGAGGGCACAGCAAGAGGATCGCAGCTGTTTTCACCAGCAGTGTTCTCTGCGAGCACACTGTATATCTCCATTATGAGGTCTGGTCTCTGGGATAAAACAGTCCATTTAGTCCTATTTATTTCTCTCATTGTCAGAAGTATTACTATCAATAAAACTCAGGTGCTCCTTTGTTGTGCAGTTTACAGGTAACTACTATGGAGGGAATTGAAAGGATGGTTTATTTTGCACAGTAACATAAACTATTCTTTAAATACATTCAGGTAGATATCAAATATAAGTTTATGTGGTACAGATCAGGGCCTAAAACTATCACTCAATAAGGGTCTTTGTCAAAGACAGATGAAAACTTCATACAGGGGAGCATGTGACAGAAAATCACTCCTCTGTGATCAGGACTGAAACCTGACAGCTCAGTCAGCTTCAGAGGGAAGATGTTTCCTCCTCTTCTATATATCTCGTTCCCACAAGGGACTTAAAAGGCTCAACCCTGCAGACTATTTCAGATTACAAACCGCTGTCAACAGCTGCACAGGGACTCGGTGAGAGATGGATAGGACTCTGTGAACAATAAAGCTGTCTTTAAAGCCTCTGGTGGCGTTATTACCTCGTTCAGATACTGTAAAGGTGCTTTTTAAACTCCAGGATGAGAGAGGGGACTTTTGGATCAAGTGGCCCAAAATAACTTTATCCCAAACCTACTGCGTCATCTAAAGTACAGTGAGTCACGTTTATAGATGCTGCAGCTCAAATCCTCTTGTTTTATTAGACTTGTTTTCATCAATCAGTCTTTATTTATATAGCATTTTTCATACACAAGCAGCAAAGGAGAAGAAAAGAGAAAGAGAAAAAAAGGAAAAAGAAACAAAGAATACCCGGATCTACCCCAACCCCAAACGCAAACGTGTATTAAAATGAACTAAATTGAAGGCCTCGATTTGATAGAAACAGGAATGTGCGCACTGAGGAAACGCCATTTTAAAATTCAAGCTAAGGAAACACTGGAGGTTCGTTTAAAATCTAAAAGCAAAGTAACATAAAATGAAATATAAGAAATAAAAGGAAATAAAAACAGTAAAAGATACTAAAATAAGAGAACCAAAATAGCTCAATAAAAGACGATCCTGGCCCCTCAGATCAAGCATCGAACTTGGGGGGCCAGAGCCTCCACCCTCTGGAATTCACTCTTCAAACCCATCCGAGACTGTACGGACCCCCATACTTTCAGATCACTCCTAAAAACACACCTTTTTAAATTGGCTTTTAACCCGTGAACTGTTCTTTAATTGTCTTTTCATATATTGTCTTTCTTAACCTTTTACATCGTTGGTTTTATTTCTCACAATTTTCTTTGTTTTAAATTGTGTTTTTTATTTTATTTTCTTCTTTTTCTTTGTAAGGCATCTTTGAGCACCTGTAAAAGCATGTTATAAATAAAATTTATTATTTTTTAATTTTTGTTAAAACACTTAAAGTTTATGATATGAAATTTAGTTTAAAGCAAGAATAAAAAGGTATGTTTTGATTTAAGTTTTAAAATCATTGTTATAAAAAATAAAATTGTTTAATTTTTGCACTTTTTATATATTTGGATATTATAATCAAGGGTATTTATATTTTTTGTACCCTGCTATTTTCCAGTGTTTGAAAAAAAAAAACCCGCCCCAGGACTGATGCTGGCTCAGGGATGGGGTGAGGACAAACTCCCATTAACCAGTGCATACCTTGGGATACAGATGAGCCGCCTGCTAAGCAGCATCAAGACAATAAGCCCAGTGGTAACAGACACTCACACTCACACACACACACACACACACACACACACACACACACACACACACACACACACACACACACACACACACACACACACACACACACACACACACACATACACACTAACAGAGTCATTCATGTGTATATTTACCCCTCCTGATGTGTGTTTACAGTGATGCAAGTTTGACATCACTGTAACAGCAACCCTCTGGTGAATGTTTAGCATGTACGCAACGTACACATCATAACACACATATGTTAGTCTGCAGACAGCTCTGACCAGCTCCGCTTGCATTTTATGCTGATGAGGCATCTTGCTTGTCTTGTTCTACATAAAATAATACATGCTTGCCTCCCTCCATATCATGAATAATTTACATCTACAGACAGCATGACTGCGCAGAAGAATGCATATACATTTTAGTGTTATGTTCAGAAGTTAAAAAACAACTTTTCCAAACTCTTCATTGAGCTTTAACCTTATTGTTAACTTAAATGTTGTTTGTACAAAGTGAAGCTGATTTGGTCTAAATTAGATTTCTGCAGCAGAGCTCTGAAAGTCTTTTTGCTTGGTCTCTACCAGGGCTGATTTAGATGCCAACCTTATTCTATTCATGCCTCTCTAAGCAGTCTCTGTAGCACATATTGAGAAGTTAATTCAGTGTTGTAGTTTTTTTTTTTTTACTCTGGTAGTAATGAACTCACCCAGAATGGCTCTGCCCTACAGCGGTTAATTTCCTTCTATTACTCCACTGGCCTCTGCCTCTGTGTGTGTCTGCTATGTGCCTCATGAATTAAAATGGACATACAGGTTAGTTTAGCAGAAATAGAACCGGACAAATCCAAAATGTAGAAATATATGCATATCTTACTTATCGAATGGTTTAAATGGTTTGATCCAGGGGGAGTAATGCTGCTGCTGAAGTGAAAAGAAGCAGTAGTGATGGAGCACATGGTGCACAGAGGTATTATTGTATAGTAGGGTGTTGGTGGCGCCCTGCTGTGTATTGAGGGCTCAGCTAAATTCACCATGAGGTTGAACCGTCACTCCTCTCACCTCCTTCACAAGCTGGAAAAATTACTCCTGAGCCTGCAGCGTAAGCAGGGTGAGATGTCACTGAAGAAGCACTTGTAACACTCAGAACACTTGTGCGCATTTGTTCACATGGGTGCAATATTTTCACACTTTACTTCACCACCTATCTCATCACCAGGAACAGCTCTCCTTGAGTCTCAGCCCTAACTCTTCAAACTGAATACAGTAGGGCTGGATGATAATGGCAAAAATAATCATCATAATTATTATTGTTTCATTTTAATCAGCTGTGTGATTGCAGACAATAACTTTCTAATGCTAATACTTGGCGCGCGCTTGTTCCACGGTGCAGCACCCCCCATTGCGCACGCACATACTGATACACGGGTCGAAGTTATAGCCGTGTAAATTTAACAAGAAAACTCACTCTTAAGGTGTGCTGGCTTTTATTTAGCTGTGGCTGTGCGCCTCAGTTGATTTCATATAGGGGAAACCCTGAAGTTGGTCGGATTGCCTTGGGGAGCAGACACGACAGCGTGACAAACTTTGCAATTTCCTTTTGCTCGACGTTCGTCAACTTGAAGCTAAAATGTTTCCAGATAACTGAAGTTGTCCTACCTTTCTTCTCAACCAAACCAATGTTTTCAATCACTTGCTCTTCACATTATTGATCAACACACATCACACGCTTACTGCAGCTGTATGTAACAGGGTTGCATTCAGTGTTTTCCCAGCACAGGAACTTACATACACGCCATGTGGTGCATTATTAGTTTTTCTTTAATTATAATGTTTTTATGATCGGGAGAAGCCAAAATCGAAATCATGATTTAAATTTGATTGATTGTCCAGCTCTAGAATACATTTACCATAAGTAACTCCCACTCCCTTACAGCCCCAGTCAACCATGGTGTCCCTCAAGGTTCCGTGCTTGGTCCCCTCCTCATCTTGGATGTCGCACAGTTTACTCAAACTGCGAAAAACATCTCCTGACTCCTACGGTTACTCTCCAATTCTGTTGCTGAAACCCTCATCCATGCCTTCATTACTGCAGTCTTGTCTGGGACAGAAGTGATCAATCAGCAGTTTATGGATGGGATGCTGGGGGAGATTTGTAGCTTTTTGACAGCTAAAGCCTGGATTTTGATGGACCTGATAAACTCTTCTGCTTTAATCCAGCTGGACAACAGGCTGTGTACAAATGTTTATGCTGCTGCATGCCCGCCAAGCTTCTTTAATGTGACTGCATGGATGTTGTGTCAGATGTCAGCCTCGCAGCTTTAAAGCCAAACAGAAATCAGTGTTTCTGTGTTTGATTCAGCTTCAAAGGGAGCAATTTATTTATAGTCTTTATCAGCGAGCGCATCAACAGCTGTGTGATCCTCTCTGTAGGTAATTGTCTTTTTCTGTTTGCGGTACACAGCGTGAGAGTTTCCTCTATCCACAGCAGAGCTTTTTTCCATCATTGCTGCCTGTCAAAGTGAACAAATCAAACTCCAAACCATCTTTACAGTTATTAATTTTTCTGTCACACCTCCCACTCATCACACAGTTTTCTATTGTCTCCTTTTTGTCCAAGTAAACAGAATCCAGGCAAGCACTCAAACTCTAAATATTCACTCCACATCTGCAGCGATCGCAGCTGTCAGCAGTTTTGTGGAAATTGGTAATATCAGATGACTGACGTTTAAAAAAGACAAGAAGATAAGATATAAAGAGGTGAGAAAGGAGGAAAGAGGGAAGCAGAAGCAAAATCAATGGCGGTCTTTGTGGATATCAGCCAGAGGACGGAACAGCTGACTACAAACATGTCTGACAAACACATCAATAATAAGTGGAAGTTGTCTTTTCCCCACAGAAACTCAAATGATTGTTTTGTTTTCTCGGTTTGGCATGAATAGAAAAGTGGGACATCAGTTTGCGGCTCTGTTGTGGTCATGCTGCACACCGTGACTCTGGAATAAATGTTGTTTTTATTCCCCAAATCCTGAGAATAAATAGCAGGCGAAAGCCAGCGGCAGAGTATGTTGAAAGAAAGCTTAAGGTCGCAGACGGATCTGTCAGGTTACCTGCTGCTGCACTGAGCATGTGAAACATGTACACCTCTGCTGTTGTCAGACATCAACCACTCTGACCTTCACATGTTCAATTCTCCTTTGTGGCCCACTGCAGAGGAAACATGCAGATACAATAACACAAACACACAGCAAGGTCCTGTTGCATCTTCCAGCTGACTCACATCAGTTGTTTTTAGGGAACACACACAACACTTGACTTATGCTTGTATTTTCCTGTTTGTGTACTTTTGCGCTGTGCAAAATGTGCACATTTTGTCTACATCTTATCAATAACTAATTTTGGAAAGGCATTTGCTGTTTTGTAGGGTTGACTCATCTCATCACAGGTATGTTCCTGGATTTTATAATAACCTTTAATTTTTTTAAAAACTGCCTGCAGACAGTGTTAGTGTTAGTGCGCCCCGTACATGGGAACCACGGTCCCCACAACGGTCGTAGGTACGAGTCCGGCCCCGACCATGTTCTGCATGTCCTTTGCCATCTCTCTCTGTCTCCCCACATTTCACCCTGTCCAATCAAAGAAGGCTGAAATTGCCCAAAAATATACTTAATAAAATAAATAAGTAAATAAAATGCCTCCAGACGTCCTCCCTCTCTCTCTCTCTCTCTCCCTCTCTCTCTGCAGCCTTCTCACATGCGTCACTGAGAGATTTATGCAGAAGTCTTGTTCTTATTAAACAAGAAAACTCTGCCTATTCAAACTAGCTTCTTCAAAAAGTTTTTGATGTATGCGCTCTGATTCACTTCCTCTCTGCAAGTGTAAAAACTTAACTTTTTCAACATCACAAATACACGGAATCTCCTGCGACCTCAAGATCTGTCTAACTTGTATTTGCATAATGGGCAGTTGGAAATTAGTAAAGGGTCTTATTTTTTTTTTCTTTGCTGGGAGATTATCTTAAAGCTATCCACACCAGGATTAGCTCAAGTGTAAGTTTTTATGAATCCTAAATGGGATCAACTGTAAAAAAGAAAAGCATGGAATATGAGAGGGATTTTTTTCTCCTCTTCTTGAACCTTGGGGGTTTTATTGGAAGAAGAAATTGAATTCACAAGAGCTGCAAATGTAGTGAATCATTAATGAGTTCAAATGTCTGTGGATTCACTTTGTGCAGGTTATTCTCTTAATTGAAAACACAGCAATGTGTGTGTGAGTAATCTTCACAAATGAGTGCATATGGGAGGAACGTAGAGATATTTATGACTCGAACATCTTAGTGTGGAGCAGCACAGAGAGGAGAGTGTAAATGAAGTTCAATGTTTTCCTCCTTCCTCCGTTCTCTTGTCAGCCAAACCAGTATGAAGGTTGTCTCCCTCTGTAATCATCCACAGTATTACGTCTGCAGCTCTTAGTTTTGTCTTTCGGTAGATTAACGGAGCTGCTGTGTCCCTCGTCTGCTCGTCTTCTTCTGATTTTCTCTCTCAGCGTTCCCTCACTGTGCCTCATTAAGACGCAGAGAAACAAGAACTTCCGACCTAACGCTACTGTAACAAGAGTTTGTGATTTTATTCTTCAAGTAAGTCAACGATGTGTGATTTTTCATTGAATTTTGTTTCTTTCTCTAAAAGCACAGGCAGAAAATAAGCAGGTTTTTGGCATAAGCAGTTGTTTTCCCACTGAGGGACATCTGAAGGTCAACTCTGTCAAGTAGAGCACTTGTGAAAAGCCCAAGATTTTGATTTTACAATGAATAATGCATCGACGGAGACTTTTGTTTTCAGCCCACATCTCTTTTAGATGCTTTTTATTCTCATTCATTTTCTCTTGGTGAAGGTTGCAGCTCTACAGAGAACACCAACAGAGGTTAAACGCATTTATTCAAGAGTTTCTCCATAATAATGGCAGCTTTGAATCTATTTCTTAGTCCTGTCTTATCCACAAACTGTATAGAATAGCTAAATCCTTTTTTAAATGTATACTTCTCTAGTGGGATAAGAAGTGGTTTGGGCTTTTTTGGAGCTTTACTGGGTGAAAAGTGACTGAAAAATAGCTGCAGGTAATAGATTTTGCTTTCCATTTGTGTGAGATAAGGGAAGTACATGCCAATAGAAGGATCAGCAGCAGTTAAAAGGTAAGAAAAAAGGAAAAATCACCCACAACCCTTGTCATTGATTTGATTTTGTCCTTTTGGGGATGATCATCAGTTCATTTCTTCTCTTTTAGATTGAAGACATTTAGGCTAGGGCAGGGCGATAAACTGAAAATTTACTGATACCAAAATTTATGACAATATCCGATGTCATTTTGCACATCAATATATATAAAAAATCAAAGTTGGTTTTAGATGTGTATAGGTAGGCTATGGTCTCATGTCCCTTTAAGATGCTGTCCTACGTCAGAGACGTGACTCCACCCCATCTAGTCTGTAACAAAGAGGGAAAGACAGGCGAGGAGATGGAGGACGGTTCAGAAGTTGTAGCGGCTGGAGCGGTGGCTGAAGTAGACGAAGTAGATGCAGGAGGGGGTGAGCAGCTTGTGGAGTAGTTATCGTCCATTTATTGTTATCGAGGTGAACTGCTCAATATATCGTAATATTGATTTGAGGCTATATTGCTCAGCCCTAATTTGAGTTGATGTGAAGAGGAGGTGTGTGTGTGTGTACGTATGAGAAGATAAAAAACTGAAACAGTGTCAGATAAGATATTGAACTTTTACACAAATACACTAAAGAGGAATGACAGAAATATCTTTGTCCTATTAAATAGCCCCTTTTACGTTTTTTGAAGTCAATGTCGAACAACTAAACCTGGCAAGGCTTTCTCTTGTATATGTAATTTTTTTTTTTGCGACATGCTGAACTGCCTTTATGCCACATGATGGTTGACCCTATTTAATCCTGGAGGCTGTCAGCTAAAAACTCAGAGTGGAGGTGAGATTATCATCAGATAAATGAGCGGTGGTCTGTCAGAGTGATAACTCCTATTAAACAGAGAGGAAGAGCCGTCTCATATCACGTTCAGCGCAGACCTCCAGAATCGATGCTTCTTCACCGATTCACTCGTCTATGAAATGTGGACGTCAATATTTGAAGTTTTCACCTTTTGAATTAAACATTTGGTGGTTATACTTTGAAGCGTGGCACTTTGGGATTGTGATGAAATCCAGCAGACATACCGAGTGTTTTGTCAAGGAGGAGAATAGAGTGAATGGCATTGAAAGTCATGATAACCGCAGCCAAAATTCATCAAGAATATCAAAACATTTACAGCGTTAGATTATGAAGTGGAAAGATACCAAGCAGCCATTTGTAGAAATACATTAAAGCCCTTTTCTTTGTTACTGAATGGAGTCAGGCTGAAATTGGCCTCTCAGGAGAACATATTACACCTGTCAGTCATCGCTCAGGGCGTCAGTGAGCGTCTGTCTTCTGCTACATCTCAGTAAAAGCATCTTTTGAACCCACATGAAGAGTGATTTTAGGCATTTATGTGTCGGCAGAAGAAAGATACTGTCTTTTTTCTGCGCCCACTCGAAAAGACGTGAAGTTACGGTCACTTCAGCTGAGTGGGTTTGTTAGTGCTATAAGGCTAAGCATGGGCATGTGCTCTATTAGACACACAGTTGTGAGTCAGTGAGCATGTGGGTCGTTTGATTCTCACGCAGGTCTGCCTTTTTTTTTACTTATTGGCATCTTGTGCAACAATAAATAACTTTTAATGAAAGACTGTAAGAAGATGTTTTCTTGACATCTTATTTTGACCTCAGCATGACCCGTATGCTGCCCTGAAGCTTTGAGGTCTTGACAAGAACTGATCTAAGAGTCTCACTAAAGGTTTTGTTTACTTACTGCAACCTTTACCCTCTTATTTTTCTCCTTTTCTTGTCTTCTCAGAGTTTGTTAAAGCTGCGTCTTCCTTTCTGAACATGATGGATAATGAAGAGCGGATCAAATCATCAACGAGGCAGACTAAAGGACGAGGCTAAAGTTTTCTTCAGGTAATAATTTCTGCACTGCTGTTTCTTTCCACAATCAAACAAATGACTGCTGGAGACGAGCCTGATCTCCGTTACCATAAAAAGTTGAAAGCGTCCAACCATAACGGCTTCCTGGAGTTTTGCGAGCTGCTGAACCCCGACTCTGTTACAGCAAACCAGCATAAAACGATCTTATACCAGCTTATTAACACCATCTTAGCACAGTCAGCTCTGTTGCAGTTGTCTACCATCGTGTTTGTTTACGTCATAAAAACCAAAGAATCACTGCGAAGCTGGAAGGCGCCTGCTAATCGCCTCTGGCTGTGAGATTTTTCCCTCTAGTCATCCAGGACTCTCTCCCCTTGTAAAGAGCTGACTAATTATAGTGTCTGCATGGTATTATGAGCCTAACAACACCTTAACCATTCAGCACAAGTTATTTTCTGCTTGGTAGGATAAAGATAATTGCCAGACAAATGGCAGTTTATGTAGAGATCAATTTACTGGCCAACAATGTTGCCCAGCCATTTTATTTGCTAGTAAACAAACATTCGGGACATTTTGTTGGGTTACTGTTTTCTTTAATTGGCTGTAATGTGGGCCAAATGAGGGTTAAACTACTTGAGAGAAGACATCTGTGGGGTTATATGCACTCAGCATCACTCCATTACTCATCCTGGATCCTGTTCTTTCTCTTTGTTTTCATCGGTTTTATAAGCAGATTCTGTCACAGCCCATTTCTTCTGTTAGGTATACACATATACAGCCTCATTATACACACATATGAGCTCCCAGCAGCTTGTGACAACAGAACTACATATCTGCATGGACACTAGGGGTGGGCGAAAAATCCATACAGCATAGTATTGCAATATTTTGTCTGGTGATATATTGTTTCGTCTCATGTACAAAGTGTCGATTTTTCAAATTAATTGCTGATATGAAGTAAAATCTATAATAATGGAAAAATAAAATCAACCGTTTGTCCAGTGAGGGTGTCAGAGGTGACATCATAAAGCAGGAGAAAGTTGGTACAACAAATATATAAAAGATTTGGAAGATGTGCTTCATGAAAATAAAATACTGTGTAAATAAGACAAACATCAAGTCAAAGTCAACTTTATTGTCAAATATGCTATAAATGTTAAACATACAGCACAGATGAAATTTCAGTCCTCTCAGATCCATGGTGCATAAGAATAAACTTTAAAAACAAAACTATAAAAGTATAAATATGAGGATAAACAACTGAGCTAAACAAGACTACCTTAAATAGTCTCAAATTACAAAATAAAGATAACAATATAAACAGCATAACAGTATAAACAGTGTAACAGTATAAATATAAGGTAGAAGGTGAATGGAAGAACGTGAATGTAAACAGTATGGCAGTCCTGAAGTTGACGTAATAGTGTAAATATGACAATATGGATACAATAGTGCAAATAATGGCAGCTGTGCAATAGAGTAAAAGTACAATGTAATGCAATAGTAATAATGGTGCAATGATGAGGGATAAAGTGAAAGTGTGAGTGTGCTAAATTATCTAAACAGTTAAAAAAAATGTATAAATCACAATATATTGTATCGCAATACTCACTGTATTGTAATATGTTAAAAATCGTAAAAATATATCACTTTGGCCCAAGTATCCTGATAATATCATATCATGGGGCCACTAGTGATTCCAACCCCTAATGGACTGCTTAAATTAACACATTTTTGATAAACCCAGTGAAAATCAGCTTCATCACACAGTCCAAAAACATACAGTGTGATTGGTTGTCTGTCTCTTCATGTCATCCCTGTGATAGACTTGCATCCCGTCCAGGGTGTACCTGCCTCTCGCCTGTTGACAGCTGGCTTGAGTCTCTGTGCATGTGTCACTGAAGAGGAAGGTTTTTAGGATGATAAAGAAACAGAGAGTGATCAGAAAAACAATCTGAAGGGGCAAACATGTGATTGAATTTACTCCTTTAACATGTGTCTTCTTATGGGTGTAAGCAGATGGGGCACCAGCTGAGCGCAGTAGATAAAACTGTCAAGCAGAAAGAGAGAAAGTTAAATCAATTCATCTGCATTTTCTTGAAAGTGCAGTCAGTTTGGAGGGATATGTAGATTTTGCAGGATGAGGCTAAATTACACAATGAGGAAACAGAGTAATTTGACACCTTTCATCACCAAATCTTCACGCCTTTTACGGCAAAATGCTCCTTTATGTTGGTTAGCTCTATGCTGATTTTGTCTGTTTTGCTGTCGTAATTTTTTTACCTAAACTGTTGCCTGAAGAGTGAAAATATCAATCAGTGCAGCTGTTGGTAAACAGTTCATTTATATTTCCTGTTAAACTTTTGAAAAAAAGACATGAATTGTAAAGTGGCCTAAAGAGATTATTTCTGACGTGTTCATTTTGTGGAGAAGTCTGAACTGTTTTCAGGTCTTGAAAGGACTCGCTCCGCTGGCTGTAAACTCTAAAAGACTTGTGTCTACTGTGAGTGGAATAAAACATCCAGATGGTTTCCACACAAACTTTAATAGGCTTGTTTTTCAGATTTCCTCTTTGCTGGGCTTCATTGATTTGATGTTTCTCCTTTCTTTATAGCCCAGTTTTATTAGGTGTTAACTTCTATATCAGCAGCTCAGACACTTTCCTGCCTTTTTATGACATCGTATCACTTCAGCGTTCACAAAACTAGCTAAAAATAGATATTTCTGGACAACATTTGGACTGATATCTTTGTGAAATAGATTTACAACACAGGCATAATCATAAAAGCCTGAAATCAACTCCATAAAGTTTATCTTTGAGATGCCTCACTGACTGGAAATGAGACGTCTCGTGTTTCTAACTTTCCGCCTCATTTACATTTGTGAGCGTTTTATAGTGCGGAGGCTGTGCCTGCTAATTTTATTAGATACTAATTACAGAGTTTAAAAATAGTGCACAAACTGTCTGAGTGTTACCATCAAGTTGCCTCCATTTTTAAAGTGTTAGTTTCGGTGTGTGCAGAAAGTATTACGGCACATTTTGAAGTATAAAACACTTACCTGCAGAGACGGGGAGGACGTGTACATGACATGCTCTTGAGAAAGACTCCTAAACTTTTACTCTACTGTATATTCAACCATGCAGAGTAACTACCAGGTGTCAGTGTGTGTCTGCGCGACTTCACCTAACTACACCGGTGAACCTGCCGCAAAGTACAACAGGTTAAATCACTGCGAACTGAAAGCGACAGGTAAAAAGTGCACAGAGCGGAGTGGAGTGGAGTGGAGTGGAGGATGAGGGGTACAATATGCTGGGGAAATAGCTCAAACTCCTGGGATTGAACTTGTGGGGAGAGCAAGAGAAATAGATTAAGTAAAGTCTGAGTTGAGTTGAGATGGAAAAGAGAGAAATTGTCAGCCGCAGGGTGAAACAGCAGAGGGATAATAAAAACGGGGACACAGCAGGGGACCGGAATGAGCGTAAGTATGAGTATGAGTATGAGCCGAGACAGGGCGTGTTTGTGTCACTGCTGTCAGTGGGTGGGCATCAACTTTAATTTGACATTAAGCTCTCATACAAATCCTTCTGTTCCTGACACCTCATATTTTTTGGAGATACTTTGTCTAAATCACAGCCTGAATACTGAGCTCTGTCCAGATGTTTTTGCTACTGGTTAAGTTCACACTAATGCAGACAAACAGCCCGCCTGCAATGACACAAGTTATATTGTCTGCAGACTCTTCCTGGACTTACTTTAATAATAGTAAAATAATAACTTTATTTTTATAGCACTTGTAAAAACAGAAGTTTACAAAGTGCTTTGACAAATAGTTGTACAGCATAGAACATCAGCAAATGGAAATAAAAACAAAAGCGCAGTTAAAAAAAAATTTCCTCTGTTTGCAAAGTTAAAGAGAATCTGTATTTCAAGCATTTTGCAACCGTTTGTAGCAGCTTCACGCTTGCCCAAAAATATCATGGGTGTTGGGTTTTTTTTGCAAGTGTGCTGATGTTGGCCTAGTGTAGCGTTTGGAGACTTATGCTATGTTGTCTCATTTGTTGTGATGTGATAAACATCTGATAACATGGAGTAAAAGCAAAAGAGGAGATGAAAAAGTTTTTAAAAAGTGTAAGATGTCGATAAAAAGCTGCTGAGTCTGTGGGCTCTATTTTTGTGCCTCACCGGAGACGTGGCGCAGGCGTGGCGTAAGTCAGGTCTGCCGCGCCAACAAGGCGTTCCCAAGCACAATTTGGTATTTTGGTGAGCGGCGCAGCCCGGCTTAAGTATCCCCCCTCCCTAACTCAGCTCCTCCCAGTGGCGTTAGTCGTAGGGAGGGAGGAGAGAGGACTTGGAGTGGATTTAACACAGCCGAGACCTGTATTGTCCAATAACATCAGCTCCTCTCCTCGCCTTTAAATCCACCACCGGCGAGGAATATTACAATTTTCGTGAAGTAATCAAAGAGATCGGGCTCCGCCATGCAAAAAAAAACACTGTGCGGGGTCCGCCACCCTTTGCCGCGTCGCCAGCGGACACGAAAATAGAGCCCTGTGACTGTTCTTTGAAACTACAGTCACGTTCATGAGCTGAACGTGGTCCAAGGTCTGCTGGAGGTCTTCAGAGCTGTTTGAGGCTCACAGTCCTGGGCGTGATGCCACAAAGCTTTGACAACAGGCACATGATAGGAATAGACTATGATCCTTTTTAGCATCACTCCAAATTTATACCGACCTTTAACTCGCTGCCAGAAGGAGCGATGATGGCGTCCAGGTTATGTCATGATTGATCTTTATTTATCTGTTTACCAGACCTTTATCTGAGCAGGAACACATACTTCAAAAAGCTGAATGCGTAATCCTCTGGACACGATTTGTATGTCGGTGATACGTGTGAGGCGGTGGATACAGCTGTGTTTGCACTGCCTCACCAAAGCCTAGTGTAAATTTTCAGCCATTTCCTTTGAAAAAGAGTTTGACCAATTTTAGAAAAAGAAAAAAAAAATATTGAGGATATTGTTTTATTTTTGTCTTAAATGCAAGCATAAGGAAAGAGCAACCAGTTATTGTAGATGCCCATGTCTGGAGAGTCTGAGCTTGGCTCTGACTTTAAGTGTTTTAAAATAGAGATGCACCGATCCATTTTTTCCTGATCCAATCCGATACCAATACCTGGGCTGAGTGTATTGGCTGATATCCAATACCGATCCAATACTACTGTTAAATGAACGAGTGTTTATAAAAAAGGTAACAATTAACACAGATATAAATTTACTTAATATTATTAATTAAAAAATAACAAATTGCACATTTAAGAAAAATTAATTGAAAGAAAAAAAAAGACTGGATCAGCGTCATTCATCAGATATTTGATCCAGTTAATTTGTTAAAATCGGAGCTGATATCAAATCCAAATATCAGATCGGTGCATCTCTAGTTTTAAATTCTACTTTCCTCCTTGTTTCCTCTTTTCATCTCCTCCTTTCCTCTCTCCTTTCACAATATCTCTGCCTCTTCCTCACTCTTTCCCTCATGCTGCTTACCGTTCACTCTCTAAAGCCTACTGCTGCTGCTGCTGAAGAGTAAGAGGAGTCACACGGGGCAGCCTGCCAACCTGTTTGTATGCTTCAGATCGCTGGTGTCTTCATCCAGCTGCTCCGAGTGTGTGTGTGTGTGTGTGCATGTGTGAGGGATGCAGATTAGACGAGGAGTATTGGGATTAGAGTCGAATGTGTCTCAAGTATCTCCTTAATCACCCATGGATTTTCAGCCTGTTTGTTTGTATGAGTCAAGACGTATCTCCACCAACACATATGCGCTTATTGATCCTCTTTCATCGATTTGTGAGTCTCTGAAGCTTAAACAGAGTATGTTTCACAGGGAGCATGTGGGCGCATGAATGAGTAGATCAGTGCTTTAATCATTAGTGGGAAGAGAGAATACCACCGGAGAATCCACGGGGTGTAAAAGGTTGAAAAATAAAACCAACAGCTAAAATGAAAGGCATAAAAGTGAAAGCAGAAATCATATTTGGCAAAATACAAATAGCAGTGGGCCTAGAACTGAACCCTGGGGGACCCCTGTGGAGGATATTTTCCATTGATGATGGTGAGCTGACATCAGGGGTGTCAATTTTAACTTGACATTAAATATCATGTTTTTGAATAAGGAGAGACTCGAAGTTTCTTCTTTCCCGTCAATGACAGCGACGCCTCACTATTTCCTATTATTATCCTCATGATTTAACTCTTTAAATGCTGCACATTTTTCCAAACCTATCTTTTTTCACTCTCTGGCTCTACACCTGCTGTATTACTCACTTTTTCAAAGCGGCACACTGTGTACTCTATGACCCCCTCTATGTACACCTTGAGTTGTTTCTCCAGAGACGGAGTGAATTTCAACCTCCATGGTTCATGTGGGCAAGAATCCTGCACGGTGCTCAGACCTCGACATTGCACCGTGAGAATGCAGCAGATTTGTCCATCATGTACCTCTCCCCTCTCTCTCTTTCTCTCTCTTTCTCTCTCTCTCTCTCTTCATATAAATGTAAATATGTGTTTGGGCATTGGAACAGGCCTTTCTGTGTCCGCTGGGAGTCACACTGCCAGAGGGGAAATCAGAGGTGTTCTTGCCAGCCAATCAACAGACTCTAAGCTGTCACCGTCCACAGACTTACAGCGAGGTCACTGAGGGGCTGACCTACATGAGTATTGTGCCATGCAAATGAGCTAAAAACGTCTCATTATTAAAGCAGACGCCAAGACTTAAGTGCACCATAATTTGCACCGCAAAGCAAATAGTGTCTCTGTGTGCCAGACAGTTTTGTCTGCATATATCTGCAAACCCCAATTCTTATGAAGTTATACTCTACAAACACTACATCATTGTCAAACCAAAACTTAGGGAGGCAGCCAGTCTTCAGCAGGAACAGACCCTGAACAGAGAAGATAAGGAAGCTTTTGCTTAATCTGATTTTTTCACACTGAAGAAGAGCTGCACAGTCTTGAAAAGAAGTTCAGGAAACTTATAACTTGTAATCAGGTACTCTTGGCCTGCTCACTCCTCTCGACATAATTGCAGAAATTGAATGATTCATGGGTGTCTAATGTTGTGTCAATCACAGATGGTTTTGTGTTATTTATCGGGCGCTATTTCCAGGTTTATGCACCCTCTGAGCTCTATTGCAAGTTAATATTGCATGAAGCCTGTTTGTGACGTGACACCGAGTGCAGTCACCAGATTTCCTGCACAGGGGTGTCGAGCTGTTTGGCTAACAAGTCTGGAGGAGGGAGAGCAGTTTGCACGGATCATGTCCTCTGGTGTTTAAATGGCTTTACAAACTAAAATGGCTTTTTACATCGCAGTACATAATTGCACAGTTTGTGTCTGTGAGAAGCTGTAAAGAGAGCTCCAATGTTCATATGGGCTTTTCAGGTTCATGAACCAGCCGTTCAGATGTTGTGAAAGCATCCCTGCGCGTAACCACAGTGTGCTGACATTCAGGCGTCTGTTTTCAGACATCTGGTGCTTTTTTTCAGTTTTTTTCCATCTTTGTGAAGATCTCTGCAGCGGTGAGCCGTGCTGTGATGAAATGTTTTTATCCTCTTCTCAACAAAACTTGAGTTTACCTTTTTCCAAGTAGAGTTATTCCAGCACAAAAGGCCATTTCAGAAAGTGGTGGCGCAGTCTGAAGCCATCTCTAGAGCCTGTTGCATAGCTGAAAAAACAGTGCAGAATGAGATCTGCAAAAACAGCCCAATGCACACTGTAGTGTCTATTTAACCAGGGTTAATTTGCACTCTCTGGTGTAACAAGTGTACCTCTACAGCAGTGTGTCCTATGTCATCAGTCTCTAAGAGAGCGCATCGATTTAAAACCGCCCCCTTAACAGCTGAATCCAAGAACATTATCAGCCCCTTAAAGACTAATCCACCCGTCTCCTCTCTCCGGTTTAATGCAGCAGGTTTCTCTCAGTGATTTGGATCCAAACAGTCCTCATAGGTAACATCAGGGCTGAAAACACAGCAGGAGCAGCAGAGAAGAGATTTCCATTTACTGAAAAAAAAAAAAAAAAAACCTTGCACACCTGTTTTCTTTAATGAAGGAAAAAGTGTGATGAGTTAAAATGAGATAAAACGCCACATTAAGGTAATTGAAAAAGTCATGCTTGAGAAAAAGACAACTTTAAAGGTCAGTCTGGGATTTCATTTCTGGCGTTAGATGTTAGATACAGCTTTTTTAATGTAAAGAGATGACTCGTGGTCCTTTCATTTGGCGACTCTTGTTAGGGCCCATCAGAGTCTGCTGAGTTAAGAGACTAAAAGTCCTTACACACTGGGAACGACGCAAATATCCGACGAGAAATTACAAAATATTCAGAGGCGAATTTTGACGCGCCTGACTATATACATCAAGCAAGATGCGATTTTTGCGACTTTCTGGGGGCGTCCTGGGTGGAAGCGAGAAGACTGACACAACAGCAGACTGACTGTTTTTCAGTTCTGATTAGACACTAGTGTTGAGATGTCTGTCTGTCATGATAGCATGTACTGAGTCGGGGCCAGTACCAGATAAGCACATTAAACTATAATCCATAAACGTAAGGTAACAACCGAGACCTAATGGTGCTGTGACAGCAACGTGATTGAGTTTGAGACAGTGAAAATACATATGGTATGTTGTATCTGAACAGGTTAGCTTACGAGCTAAAGTTACTTAGCACAGATGAAAGTTAAAACAAAGACGTTTAGCAAACTGTTAAAGCACACAAACCATCGTCATATGAGAAATCTGACACTATGACTCTCCACAAGTTGTCCTTCTGGTCTTTATCTTTGTAATATTTGTGTCTTTTATCAAAAAGCACTCTGTTTTCCGACACGTAAACAATCAGCTGGTCGGCCATGTTGGATATACCGGTGAATCAGACATCGCAACAACACGCAATCTGATTGGTCAGAAGTGGACACACAGTATGCAAAACTTTAGAAAACTTGACTGTGATGCGAATATCACAGGACGGGAAAACATCGCTGATGTGAACACTTTTAATGACAGGTTATGGGTTCGAAAAGAAATATTGACGTCCCAAATAATCGCACGAAAAAAAAAACGCTCCCGGTGTGAAAAGACCTTAAAGGCTTCTATTTCTAAACAAATGTCACTTTGTGTAAATGTAGTGTTTCTTTCCCTCTCCAGGTACGACACAGCCAATCACCAGTCCAGTCCATTCAGCAGCAGCAACATCGTGTGAAGGAAAGATCTACGTGTTTGGAGATGAGATGCGCCCGACAGCTAATGAGCCAACAGATACAGGTTAGGTTTAGTTATTCCCTATGAAGACTCTGACTTTGACTTAGACTTTCTTTATCGTCATTGCACAAAGGAAAACAGAGCAGTGATTCCTCTCTACAACAAAATGTCGTTGCTCTGCTTCCATTATTGCACTTTCTGGAGGTAGAGTGGTAGTGGAATAAAAACAAATAAAAGTGTATAAAAAAATATCTATGTCTGGGTCAACTGAGAGCACTTCTTCATCAGCCCCCTGTTTCCCTCCATCACTGTCCTCTGCATCTCTCTCTTCATGCACTGACACAAATACAGCCGCATTTGTTCCCCCTGACAGTAAGTCTGTCTGTGCGTCTTCCCTCTACATGGACCGCCTCCTGGAGGAACTGCAAATGAGTTTCACAAACACTTATCAGGCCTGACTCCCTCTCCCCTGCAGAGTGTAAAATATAATGGCGTGTGACAAAAATAGTCCCTTCAACGCGTCTGTTGAGATGTGGGGTGCCTCTGCAGATCTGCTGGCCTGTGTCTTCCTTTGTCTTTGATAAATCAGTCTGCTGAGCAGCATATGCACAGGAACATGAGTGTAATTGAGCCTCTTCACATGAGGTAAATCACTCAGGAAGTCTCATGATGTCTCTCAGAACAAAAGTGTTGTGTGTGAGTGGATATCTTTTGTTCTCAGATTGTTTTTAATATTCCTGAATTGATTATAACTTTAAAAGAAGATGTCTGAAATGTTTTTAAAAACTCCTGTCTGTCCTCTCTAGATCCTAGGTGGCAAGATCTTCACCGCAGGAGGCTTTATGAGCAGCCAACGTCCCTTCTGGAGAAAGATGTTCCACTTTTAATCCTAAAGGGTGAAGTTTCTTTTTTTTGTGAGAACTTTTTAAAGTAGTGAAATCAAGTGAAGTGAAGGACTGTTTTTCCCTTTATCGGTGGAATTTAAGAGTCTCTGGACACGTATCTCTACTGTGATTGTGGATTTATGGGAAAACTCATTTTGAGCTCTGGATTACCCGTTTTCTTTGGGCTTGGTGACTGCATGGGAAAAACTAAAAAGCAGGTTCAGGAGGGTTTCAAGAAGGAGGAAATCACTACTCTCTTTGGGTGATTCAAGCCAGACTGAGATAAACATCTGGACAATGAGCGATCTGTTATATCCCTCTGCTTTCTCTGTGGGACAAAGACAGCATGAAAGAGAGCAAAATCACTCAAAAAAGCACAATACTCACCTGAGTCTGTTGCCATTTTAGTGATCTGTTGAAAAGATATGTCTATTTTATCCGTTTTCGAGCACCTTCTTTTATTAAATAAACGAAATGAGTTGGTTTTGTACTCTATGAATAACCCAGCGCTGCCTATGATGGCTTTTTTCATTTTGGATTTACAAACCAATGCAAACACAATCTTTACACAATCTAATCATTGTATGAAGAAGTTGAAAAAATGTCAAAAACACAAAAGAAAACATGATTTTTTTTATGACTGAGAGAAAGAAACTGAACAGACAAAACCAGGCATGTATCAAAATGCAAATACACACATGTACACACTCACACAGTTGGTCTCAAGCAACACTGCTGACTGAATTGTGTTCACGAAAGCATCTGTGCACTCGGGTTTTAGTAAAACGTGTAAATTTCCCTCGGCTAATAATAGTTTCACTGTGATAGATGATATAAGTGAAGCAAAGCTGTGCTGGAATGAGACGGGTGATTTTTCCTCAGCGTGAAAACAGCAGAGTTTGACACTGACTGAATCTGAACAGAGCCGGAGGAGAAGAGACGGATTTTAGTCCGCTATAGACCATGATTAATGCATTGAAGATGTTTCACTGTGTGTTCTCCCATCCGAAAAGCTGAGTCACTCAGACAGACGCTGAGATCTGAAACCAACCTCAAACATCTACAAAAAAAGTTATAAACGGACAATTTTGCTGTAAAAATGTAGTCACACTTTCAAAGAGGAAGCTTTTCTCGCAAAACAAATGATTGCATTTGTATTTGATGAGTCAATTGAACCATAGTTATTTATTTATTGAATATGTTCATCATTTAAAACAATAACTCTCATGATCTAGCTTTTAACAAGTTACCCCTCTCTGTTCACATGTCAAAGATTCAATTGGCCAGACCCTTTTATTAGATTTTTTTAATAAAACATACAAAATGAGTCCAATCACAATTACACATTTGTGGCAAAGCAAACAAACATGCCCAACTAGACGAACAAATTCTCCAGTCTATTACACTCCCTTTTATTTTATAATATGTAAAGTAAGAACATTTGAACAATGGATGTCACATTTCCTCATTTTCCACAAGATCTACCAATATCCGTTTTCAATTGTCCAAGTAGTTTAATAATCTGGTACTTCAAGCCATGTATCAGAGGTATTTAGAGCAGTTCAGGTCTCCGTGCTCTTATTTATCCGATCCATTTTGACCAACATCTCTTAAATGTCTCCGACTGAAGTCTCAGAGCGAATGTCAGTCTCTCCATAATGTACATTACGTGAACAGTTTCTTGCCAGTCTTCCAGTGTTGGTGAGTTGGGTTGTAACCACTTCCTTGTTATAGTCTTCTTTGCTCCAATCAGTAATATCTTCATTAGATATTTGTCTGCTATCACTTAAGTACACGACGCCATGGTACACCAAATTGTATAGTGGCAAGACCCTTTTAAACAAGCAAAGTGAGCTAGTGAGCAATCATGTGTTGAAACTTCCTGTGTAGCGTTCCTCTGTCGTCGAAGAGTCCAGTTGCTGAACTAGCCTGCCTTCAACCCTGATTTGTCAAAAATGGGAAATTTACTATACCAACTTACTAAACTAGTCTACACAAATCTGTTTATATTGTTTTCAAAACCAATAAGATTTTAAAATAAGATATTTTTTCAACTTTTCACTCAGCTTTTGTGAGTTTCTCCTGTAAGAATGAGAAGAGAGAAGAAGAATGAGCTTAGAGTGCTCTTGTATTTTTTGGTTTCATTGAGAAAACCCTGACTTCCTCATTCATGCAAACCTGCGGTGGCTTCAAAGTGGCACTGAATTCAGAAGATGAAATCTGTAGCTCAAGAGCATCTGTGATTTATACAAACACACAAAAGATGTCAAACTGGTTCTTCAGTGACTAAAACTTAGAAAGTAAGAGAAGCCAGCTGTTTATTTTAAGATCCAGACATGATGAAAGCAAACTCTGACTACATTTACACGTTAGCAAGACTGATGCTGTTGTGCATGTGATGTTAACACAAGCATTTCACACTTTATTTTTACCATCACATTATCACAGCCCTAAAACTGTTAACACGCAGTCACACAAGCTTCAAAATCTCAATATTATGAGGTTTGAAAAAGGAAGCTTGCATGCAACTGAATGCAAAAGTCTCTTGATATTGGAAAAAAAAACACCTGAATTTTTTGTACTTTTGAATGCAAAATTTCCAAAAATGTTCCCATAGACATTAATTTCAATAAACAAGCAGATTAGCAAAGGATTAAAATAACCTGAAGGTTAATATTTCCAGCAGCAAACTCACAAAAAGCAAAGAAATAACCCCGACTAAACAGTTTTTTTTTTTTTTTCATTTTTCCAACTAAGATTGCCAAAGTTTTGAAAACTTGAATCTTGTTAACTCACAGAAAAAAGTTTTCCAAACTTTCCCAGCTTTACTTCTAGGGTGTTATGATAATCTCATATCCACTGGTCCGTACATGGATAAAAATGTGACTATGCAAGACCACAAAAATCCCTCCAATAATCGAAATGACAAGAATCATCACAGTTTCCTTCTAACAGAGGCTTTAAATTGAACATATTTTATTGCAGTATTTTTATCCTTTCTCTGCAGAAACTTTGCTTTGACACTAAGGGAGGTTTCAAGTTTCAAACCAGCCAGTCTCCACAGAGAGCTGAATGGAGCTCACCATGGCAAGACGCCAATTTTCACAGCAGCATAAAAGCTTTAATTAGCACCATTACAGCCCATCTCACATATGTGTAATGATGTGAAATTCTCTGTAAGACTTCGCCGTGACCTTTCTCTCATCCAGATACTGCTGCACTTCTTTGTTGCTCCCATTATGTCTAGCTTTAATACCAATTCACGACTTAAGAGTGCACTCTCTCTTCTTTTTCTCCTATTTCAATGTTTAATGTACACTCTTTTCATATTTCCTCCTGTCCCTCGGATAAATTTGTCTTTTCTATTTTCTGTATAATGCTGTGTTTGCAGTGCTGTTAGGCTGCACTAAAATGTCAAGTATTTTGCAGAATCCTCCTGGTTTAACATGAGGGTTTTTTTCCCCTCTCTCTCTAATGCTCGCATAAGAATGAATAATGAATGACTCTGACATGCTTGTGACCATGATACCCCAGTGAGGGCAGAGGGTGGGTGGTGATTTGTAGAGGGAAGAAAATCAGGCTGCAGAGACACATAAAGTGGCTCACAGGGCACTCAGTCACACAGGTAATACAATCTAGAGAGTGTTTCAGGGGTCAGGGACGATCATGACAAATCAAATTAGGATGGTTTCAGCATATTAAATCAAACAGTCTCCCTGTCAGCAGTGCAGAAAAAAACCCTGCCGGTTCCCGACTCTTCGGAAATATGAAATAGATGATTTTGTATGTGAGCTTTCTGAAAGCACTTTGTAAAATGTATATATCTTGAAGACGTTGTATGGTCTATATCAAACTGACTGTCTGATCAAACCTGACTTATCAAAAAAAAAACTACTATAACGCAATCCATCAGTGTCAGATAATAGGCAATAAATCCTTCTCTGCTATCTCGGCATTATGAAATCATAAAAGAGGTATCTCAGTTGAAATCAACTTCAGATACTAAATGCATCTTTGTTGAAGCCTCATCGTCCAATACAAGAGACATTACTATCACTTGTCTCATTATTCTCCTCTTTTAGTCACTAAGTCTAATAAAGACGATCTGTTTGGTGTGAATACGATAAAGCATCTTCTTCTATTTTAAGGGTGTAGAAAAAGTTTGGGAAAATAAGAATCTATTATATAAATGAAACGATTTGGAAAAAAATAAAAACTCTGTAAGAAGGCTGCGGGACAGGATTTACATATTATATGTATTCAAGGCAGCGGAGATCCAATAACACAGAGAAACACAAACACTTCAATGTAAGCCGAAAAACTCACCTGATTCAGAGATGAATCAAGAATAGTGCAGCCAAGGCAAAACCAAAGACACATTTTATGATAGAAAAAGTTAAGTTTGGTCAAGGTTAAGGAAAAGGCCGCCTGCCAGCTTCTGTAAACCTCATGAGAAATAAAGGTTAATCAAAGCAATGTCCTTTACATCTACGGAGCAAACACACTACTGTGTGTGCTGGAGAGAAAAGGGTGATAAACACGCTGACCAAGCACAAAACAGCTCAGGCTGTCTGTTACGCATTATGAAAATATGTTTTTAGAATATATAAACACACAAGGCTGAGAATAACTGCATAAATCTGTTGCTGCAAGAGGCTCTACAGTACCTTACTGTCATTGATTCATGGATGTGACATTTGTTGAAATCATTCAAGATTAATTTATTCTCAATTCTTGTGTATTTTAAGAACATTTGTGCAACTAAAGGCATCCGATTGGACATTCCTCAAACAAGGCTGAGGAAGACTGCATAAATCTGCTAGTAAGAGGCTTTAGAGTACCTTACTGTTACTGATTCATAGATGTGATATTTGTTGAAATCATTTAAGATTAATTTATTCTCATTTTCTTTTGTATTTTATGAACCTATGGGTAACTCAAGGCATCCTTTAGCACATTACAATCATGCACAGTTTGTTTTAAAGTTCCAGTGAGGCGTTTTTCTATAGTGTCAGTTTTGGCGCCCCCTGTGGCCAAAAGAAATAACAGCATAAAAATAGTCGCTCTTCCTGCCGATTGTCTTATTTGCTTTCATACAACATAAAAATGCATAAGTATAAATTTCAGTCTGTCTTAGTTGTAAAAAAACCCTTATAGGAGCTTTAAATTGATAAGTGCCAGTGAGTGTTGATTGTAATAACTTCCTTTTCTGATTCATTGCACTGCTTTATTTTGCATCCATTTGTCTTCAGTAGCACTGCTGAGCGTCCTACACGATTGCCTCTCATCCAGTGCTGTCAAAGCTGCGTCTGAGACTGAATAGAAATAAAAGCAGCTTTCTATTTTCATTGCCAATCAAACTCTAGTCCAGTACCACTATTAAACTGTTAACTTTTCAACACATACGCATGATGGCCACTTTGCCAGAGAACCTCCTGCTGTTAAAAAGAGTAAAAATGAAAAGAAAAATAACTCCAGATCATTTCTGTTGACAGGCTAAAAGAAG